GCGCGATTTTTCTATTTCCAGAAAAATTATTTATATAGCAATTAAATTGTGTGATATGCAACTATAAACAAAAAACTAGTAATGAAAAATAACATTTGTGTTTTATATCTTAACATAATGTTTTCTTAATCTAAATTAAGTTAAAATTCAAATTAACCAAAATAACTGATTTATTTCATTTAAAATGCATGTATATAATGAATAGATTAAAAATTTTATTACAAATGTTACAATATAGTACAATTTTATATATACTTACGATTGGTACAATTATTATTTTTATTCAAATTAAAGAATATATTTAAGAATATTATTTAAGATCTTAGAACGGCTAATGCTTCTGTATATTTTAAACCTTCTAAAATATAAATTAAATTTTCAACTGATGCATCTTCATCCTCTTCCGCCCATATCTCAAGCATAGTTTTACATTGTTCGTATGGCGTTGTTTTGCTTTGGAAAAAAGCAATCTAAAACACATATAATGTATTAAAATTCTATAATTATGAATAGTAGTGGTATTATATTAAGTTTGATGTATTTATATACCTCATCATTTGTATAACCAAATTTTATCGCTAATTTTTTCCAATCATTTTTTAAACTTTCCGATAATTTTGCCACCATTTCCGGTGTGACTTTGTTCAATTTTCTGGCTTTTACATCAGCGCTTTCAGCATCAACCTGCTCACTTTCCTGTTTCAAGACGTCTTCGTTGAATTCTTGATCAGTAGATTCTGATGGCGGTGTCTCCTCAGTTTCCAATTTCGTATCAGACTGTGTCTGCTATGGAACGTAGTAAAAAATTAAGAAACATTAAGATTAAATATATTCATAGGAAGATAACTCACTGGACGATCTTTAGCAATCTTCTTAATCATCGTCTCAAGATATTCAGGCAATTTATTTATAGGATAATTTCCATGAACAAAGAAATGCGGACTTCGTCTCGCTAACAGTCTTAACGCTCTCCAACCAAAATTACCATCGTTCACCTTCCTGTAAATATAAAATTATTTTATTAATGTTATTTTATTAATGTTAATAATCACAATGAGAGGTGAGGCGTGTTTTTATGATTGACTCTTAATCAATGGATCTTGGATTTAATCCCGACCCGTCTCAAATATTGGCTCAGAAAGAGATTGATTGGAAAGTTAAAGATTATTATTAAAAGAAGAATATTAGATAAATTGTAATCAATTTTGAAAACAATAAACCGATACATTATCACAACAAAAATAAATATGCTATAAACGATAACACTTACTTGTATTTATCATCGACCATTGCAGCAGGATCCAATTCCATTATGGCATCTTCAAAATACGTTTCTAAAGATGGCAGAAAATCTCTATCCTTAGATTTGCATGCCTCGAGATTGTTCGGACATAAATTCCATAATTTAGTAAGTTCTGGACTGTTGAAAAATAATATAAATATAATTATTCAGTTTTCTATATAAATGTTAATTCACTTCTTCATTTTTCAAAGCTATTTACTTTCCCATGTGATATTTGCCAACCGTTTGTGCATCTCTAATTACATCACCAATACGTCGTTTCGGTCTTCTTGATTTCCGTGGCTCTTCATCATTGACATCTGATGCTGGTCGTTTGAATGGTGGACATCCTTCATTCTTCCATGTATTCCAATGCTCTTCACGTTTCAAGATGTTCTTCACAGTTTCCGCAAATGTGGGGCCGTCAGGCGGTGTTTCAGTCAGTAGAGTATAAACTTGTTCAGTAATAGTCTTCACCCATTCCACTTGATCCGGCTTGAGTTCGTGTGTCTCACTTAAAAGTAACAAATATCATAGAGATTCGATAACGTATATATCACGAGACATTTAATTTAAGGAAAGCAGACCTTGTCTCATAGCCACTGGCAAGGAAGCTTTGAAAAACAAACATTTTTATGACTATTCAGAGGCATTTCACTAATTGCCAAAGAAGTTGTTCATTCAAAAATATGAGGCTTATAAATTCATTATAAAATATCCATTGCATTTTAATACAGAGAATACTTACGCCTTGAATTTTACAGTGCTATTCAGATACTGGAAAAGAATGAGAAATTGCAGCAATACATATCGTCTGAAATTGGAGTCTGACAGTTGTAACTCCAGTAATTTCTGATTAGTCAAGTATTTAGCAAAATAATGCGTCTCTTTGTGGGAGCCTTCCATAGAAGTATCCATCTTGATGCATGTAGAAGGATAACTACGTTGCTCCTCCAATTTAAAAGAAGCAAATGCTGATAATACATTAGACGCATGCTACAAATAATGTATTATTATATATATTATTTATAAATTTGCTGTAAGTTACAACTAGTATTTATAGTCAAGTCTTATACTTAATTACGGTTTTAAACTATCAGACAATCACAAAATCATATTAAGACATTTCTAAAATAAAAACCAACTATGAATATCAACCTATATTACTGTTTAAAGAAACTGTTGGAGAAGATAACAACTTACAGCTGAAAAGACCTTCCAGTGCATTTTATTATAACACTGATTCGGATTTCTGAAGAAATCTTGTAGTGCCCAAAACTTTCTATACAAATTATAATCAATTGGTATCTTGCTTTCTGACTTGTCGTCATCCTTAGTTATCTGCTCTAAATCATCTTCCTCTGCTTTCTCCAAGCCAAATTCTGTCTGATTTTCCAGATTAAATTCGCTAACAATATTCAAGCCAGATCTCTCAGAGAAAGGAAAGAACTTTGCTAAGAACAGCAGAATTCTACCACAAAATACAGTTTGTTGTGAACGTGACAATCTCCTTAGGAGATCGTTGCACATTCTCAACAAATTATTTTTACAGGCAGTGAAAAATAATTCTTCCTTCCATACAGTGACATTATTCTCCACAAAAGTAAATAATTGTTCGCATCTATCGAGCGTCATTGAATCAAAGATATCACCCAGTAGCATCACTGGCATACTCGCTGTCGCAAGATCCTTTCTGCATAACTCTATACAGAACGTGATATACGATTCGAGGGAACGCACGTTACCCGAAGCATTTTCCGTCAGTACGACTAGCAAGGTATCTCGAAGCGCCTGATCGATTGCCGCTTTTCTGTCACTGTCATTCGCACAACGTTCAATGCACTTTTTTTGAAATAACGAGACGTCCGACAGCTTGAAATATTGCTGCAAATAATCCTGAGAAAAAAATTAAGACAATATAAACAATATATAGTTGTAAACAATGTACAGTTATAAGTAAAAATTTGTGAATAGAACACAATGCTTATTTCAAACGTTGTACTTACGCTATAATCTTTCCTTAACACTTCGAACATCGCCATGATTTTCTATAGTTATGCTATCATGGATTATATTGTTTTTATTAAAAATGATTTCTGACAGAAAGAAACCTCTTCTTTTTGTTTATTGATTTCTATCTCTGTACTCTATACTGAAAGGAGAGTCTTCGCGTTGCTTGCACTTATTGCACTTGTAGCTTTTTCGAGTGTAGTTGAATTTGAATCAGACCATAGACTACATCAGAAAGAAATCTGAGAGAGCCCATGTCGGCCTTCTTTTTGTTACCATCGAAATCACCTAAAATCATTAGATTAACAAAAGTGCTGCGGTTTTTGCAATTGTCAATCGGGCTAATTCTAAAGCTTAGAAGAAAACAAAGTAAGTTGAACCGAAATTAAATAAAATTAATCTACGTTGATAGAAATAGGCATAAAGGATCTCTAATTTCTTTCAGTTCTATTTCAGCTATTTTTTTGTTGACATTAGGTTTGTTCGCGTTGCAGAAAATCTCCAAATATATTTGCACTCAAAATGAGATAGATATATAGATATATTTGGCTTTGAAAAAAAAGATAGCACAGATATCGAGTGCAAAAAGTGCGAGCAACGCGAACAGACTTCATGATTAGTACGTCTGCGCTATCGCGTCAATGCTCACCAGTGTTTGTGTTTACAATTCAAAGTGATTCGGAGGCATGGAGGATCAATAATTTGTACGTTTTGCGTTTTGTATAACTGTATCAATTCCATCTGTTCTGTGATCGTGCCTAAGTATGCCGTCTCGCGGAGAGGATATCCTCAAAGGTTTCCAGGTGTATCCTTTAATTTAAGATATAATTTAATCGCAATTAATCGGCGATCACTTGGCAGTTTTTAGGTTAGAATGAAAGGTCAAATCCAAATTTCTGACATATAATACGTTCTTTGTGGTTGAGTTCCTTTTCATTTTTTTTCCTTTTCTGTCTCTGATGATTTTTGTATGTGCTTACTTTATTTCAAAATTATAAAATTAAAAATATTATTAGGCATGAGGATCTTTCTTGATTGAATAGAACCTTTTTGCTCCATTGTGTTGAACATTTCTTTGTCGCTTTTCATTTTGGCCTATTTTCACAACTCACAGTTAATTCTTCGTTGAACAGAGGTTCAACTTATTTCTCACCTCTTTCCAATTCTAGAATCGAAAAGAGATAATGAATAAGTTGAATCTTGATTAAGAGTTAATCGTGAGTTATGAAACTGGATATTATTTATTTTATTTTATTTAAAACGTTAACATTATAACAGTGCAGCTACAAAGAACAGATTTTTTAGAATATCAGTTTGATGAAAAACTGGATTTATATAAATGGATATGTCTCCTTAATTGTGATTCCATTAGGAATTGGATGAATCTACGTGATGCCGATAGTGGGAAAATTCTCTGGCAGGGTAACGAAGACTTGTGAGTAAGACTGATTTTTCAGATACATCATTGAAAGAGACTGAATTCTTGGTTCTTTGCTTGATTATAGATCTGTACCTGACATAGAACATGAAGCACGTGTACCAAAAAAGATCCTGCGATGTCGTGCAATATCGAGGGAGATAAATTTTAGCTCTGCAGAACCAATGGAAAGGTTTCGCCTAGAACAGAAAGTATTGTTCAAAGGGCGCTGCCTGGAAGAGTGGTTCTTTGAGTTTGGATTTGTTATTCCCAACAGCACTAACACGTGGCAGAGCTTAATCCAGGCGGCACCAGAGAGTCAAATGATGCCAGCAAATATACTAAAGTAAGCAGAGACTAAATATACTAGAGCACATCCTTAGTGTTTCGCTTATCTGTTGATTAATTTTGTATGGTTTCCTTTACAAATAGCGGCAACGTCGTAATAGAAACAAAATTCTTTGACGACGATCTCTTAGTGTCTACCAGTCGAGTCCGTCTCTTCTACGTCTAAGGCAATTTCCAAACGGTCCTAATCGTATAACATGGGACCAATCAACATGAACAGAGACCCTATACAAAAATAGAACAACGCACGTGTGAAAAATTTCTTACAAACTGAACATTTTTCATCCTTTAATATTAAACACTTCTTATGCATACATTAATAAGATAATATTGATAAATCTTGCAATTTTGTAAAAATTTACATTCTTAGATTCATGCAATCAATACAAAATTCAAAATGTTATCAGTACAATTTTTCAAACAGGGCCTAATGCGTCTAAAATATGTTTTCACTCTTAAAAGATGTGAGGATATGACTTGCACTGCTAAAACACATAATTTATTTGTTATTTATTAAGTGTGAATAAATGCAATAAGTTTTGTACATATAATATACTACACCGCGAACAATAAAATTAAAAAAAAAATTACTACATTTTATGTGTATTCTATACTTTTATAATTTTTCCATGGCGCAACATCCCAAGATGGAACAGTCTTTCTTTCATGAGATTTTTGTAATAGATTTTTTTCCAAAATGTGCAAATCCAGTCGGGCCGAAAACGCTGTAAATCGTAATAAATCACGAGCATTTTTCGTTCAAAGAATGTATCCTTTGAATGACAGTGACGAATTCGCAACTTGCGCACGCGTTCTCATTCCTTACTAGAAGATCCTTACTATTCGCTCATACTTGGATTTCTTTCGGTTCCTGCTTCCTTTTTTTGCCGACTGATACGTCTGCGCCGCTGTTGCTCGCCAGTGTTTATAATTCAAAGTGCTTAGTGTGGCTTAAGAGATGTTCGCAGATATGGAGGATCAATGTTTACGTTTACACAGATCAATTTACGCCAAAGTTAAAACATCAATGTTAGGAAATTGGCTAATTATAATCATTCCATTCTTCAGAGGAACATGCTATTATTGGCCATTTTCATAACATCGATATAATTCGATCGATATAATAATCGACGTAAATCGAATAATGTAAACGTAGTCAATAATTTGCGCGTTGTTTTCCATTTGTATAATCGTGTCAATTCCGTCTGTTCTGATCGTGCCTAAGTATGCCGTCTCGCGGGAAGGATATTCTCAAAGGTTTCCAGATATATCCTTTAATTTATGATTGAATTTAGCCCCAACTGTTACATGATTAGTGACAGTTTTTTTAGGTTAGAACAGAATATCAAACCGAACATTTCTGAAATATGTTTTTTGCAGCTGAGTTCCTTTTCATTTTTTTTTCTCTCTGATGACTATATGCTTATTTTATTTAAATTGTAAAATTTTAAATATTGGGCATCAAGATTTGTTTTAATCGAATAGAATCTCTTTATTGTGTTCATTTCTCGATTTTCACTTAATATTATTTTATTTTAAATGTTAATTTTATTTTATTTAAAGTGTTAATAAGATTAATATTGCAGCTACAAAGAACGATTTTAGAACGTTGGTTTGACAACAAAATGGATTTATGAACAAATGTATCTCCTTAATTATGATTCCATCAGTAATTGGATGCAACGCCAATAGTAAGGAAATTGTCTGGAAGGATAACAAAAACTTGTGAGTAAGGTTTTCTAGATACATCATTGAAGCATGATAGATTAAAACCTTGGTTCTTTGCTTGATTGTAGGTCTGTGCCTGATGTAGAACATGAAGCACATACTGAAAAAGATCCTACGATGTCATAAGATACAAAGGAAGATAAATTTTAGCTCTGCAGAAAAAAATGGAGAGGTTTTGTCTAAAACAGAAGATTAAAGAGCGTTGCCTGGAAGAATTGTTTTTTGAGAGTTTGGGCCCATTGAACCTTATTATATGGAAAAGTTAATTTTGACATCACCAGAGAATCCGATGATATCAACAAATATACTAAAGTAAGTAAAGACACATGGTGTTTTATCACTCATTCATTGATTAATTATATATATATTTTTCTTTACAAATAGTGGCAATGTTGTAATAGAAACAAAATTCTTTGACGACGATCTCTTAGTCGATCTATCAGTCGAATCCGGTTCTTCTGCATCTAACAGTAAAGCGATTTCCAAACGGCTCTAATTGTACATAACACGGAACCTATCAATGTGAACAGACACTCTATACAAAAATATAACGCACGTGTACAAAGTTTCTTACAAACTGAATATTTTTCATCCTTTGTTATTGGACACTGACTATGTATATATTAACCAGGATGATATTGATAAATTAATTAATAAACATAATTTTAAATTCATCTGGATGTTTGGAAAATGGTACTGATAAAACTTTTAATTTTGTATAAATTGCGTAAATCTCTCTAAGAATGTAAATTTTGTAAAAAAATCTCTCACTTGACTTTATGATGATGAATAAACTTTGTGTATTTACAATTGCGTTTTGCAATTTTATAATCGCATTTTTATGACAACTGGTCTTCGATTATTTGAGAACGAGATACTGAAAACGTAACAACTTCACGTACACTGATAGTGTACAGAGCTATATTAAAAAATTCTGATCTTTTTATAATCATTAATTTAAAGAATTCATTAATGATATGAATATTGTAATTCAATGAGGCGGCTTTTGAGCTTGCTGCTCAGTACGATCTGTAGATTCGGGTTCAATCCTACTTGCGCTCACATAAGCGATTTTTTGTATTTAAGGAGCCGAAAATGAGTCCATCTGATGATTAAGAGATCTTTGATCACCAGCTGTTCAGATTCAATGTGAAACTGTCTCATATATCATTGGATATATGTATGGATCTTCCAGGCTGGAGGTCGGATGTTAGGCTACCTAATTCCAAAAAAAATACATTACAAAAATTTCAGAAAAGGTAAAAAAGAATTCTTACATTCTTCAATTTTCACTACAATATTCTTCACACATAAGTCCTTCTACTTTTGTATAAGTTCTGTTCACGTTGATTGATGTTATGTACGATCGTTGAAAAATGTTGTAAAATCGTTTGGAAATTGTCTTCGATGAAAAACAGACAGACTTTATTGATAGACACTAAGAAATTGTCAACAAAATTTTGTTTCCACAATGGCGTTGCCGTTATTATATCGTAATAGAAATAAAATTATAAGAAATCATCGTCCAAAAATTTTGTTTCTATTACGATATTAATAATGGCAACATCGTGATGGAAACAAAATTCTTTGATGACAATTTCTTAATGTCTACCAGTCTCTTTTTCAATTGAAATCTAATCCGTCTCTTTTTCATCGAAGACAATTTCCAAACGATTTTACAGAGAACAGAGAGAACAGTGAACAACTTATATGAAAGAACTTATACGAAAGTAAAACTCAGATATGAAAAGTTTCGTACAAATTGAATTTTTTGTCTTTTGATATTAGACAGTTTTTATCCACATATTAAAACAAGATGATAAATTGATAAATCTCGTAATTTTGTAAAAATTTACATTCTTAAAAAGATTGATGCAATCGATACAAAAAAAAGTTTTATTAGTCAAAGTTTTATTAGTAGCATTTTTCAAACAGGATCTAAAATATGCTTGCTGATGTTTCTAAAATATATTTTTCACTCTTGAAGAATGTAAGCTGTGACTGCTAAAGCATATAATTTATTTGTTATTAGTGTGTAAATGTGAATAAAAACAATAAGTTTTGTACGTATTATTATACACTATATCGCGAACAACAAAATCTTAAAAATATTATTGAATTATAATTCATTTATAATTCGAGGGCGCAACATCCCAAGAAGGGACAAGGCCTCCATCTCATAAGATTTCTTGTAATGTATTTTTTCTAATTAATTATTAGAATTAAGTCGTTAACCTAACATCCAACCTTTAGCTTGGAGGATCCATACATATATTTATTGATATTGATTTTAAAAAGATCAGAATTTTAATATAGCTCTATATGTCTTCTCACTAACAGTGTGAAACTGTTACATTTTCAGTCTCAAATAATCAAAGGATCAGTTGTCATAAAAACGCGATTATAAAAACGCAATTGTAAATATACAAAGTTGATTCGTTGTAAAGTCAACGAGAAATATACAACTTTCTTTATCGTATGGACGTACTATAACAGTCGTACGCTATTGATTAGTGATGTACAAGCAACACATTTTTTAGGCTTCACCACACCCCTTGAGGGAGTTCACTTTGAGTATACTCTGTCCCCTACTCCGTCTATACGCGTTGTACAAGTGTAAGGAAAAGAAAAAAAACCTCTAAAGAAGAGGACGAGGAAACACCGAGGAATCACTATGCAGTTAGCTTGAATGCAAACGAACTTCTTGTTAATTGAACTTCAACATCGTATCGCGCGCTTTGTTTCGCGCGCGATTAATTTAATTATACTCGATTTGGCGACTTCCCTCAGGGAGCTAGAAGTTCTCGTGGGATGGATCTGAACGATGAAGACGAGAGTGGAAACGAGAACGGCAGGCAGCTATTTCTGGTGGGCACGCCGCGCGATCCACTTGTATCAGCCGGTGCGATCGTAGCATCGTCGACGAATGTCTCCGACGACGTCAATCAGAGTGACGATCTGCAGTCGACTGCCCTGACTGGTCTAATCGGTGGCGCGCAATCCACCTCCGTTTGCTTCCCTGCAAAATTCAGTAAGTATACGCCGTGTGCCACGTAGATCTGATTTAATTAACCGCTTCTGTCTCCGCTGACAGTATCCCAAGTTGGAGTAGAGTGTCACTCAATTAAGTTATTGCTAAGTGCATTAAGTGGATCCGCAGTCAACTCTTTTTCTTAAATAGAGTTAGTAGTAATCAGTTTAACAGTTATGAAGTATTTACCGCTCTGCCTGTGGAACATCGCGGCATAAAATCTGAGCGAATATAATATCATATCGTGGATTCTCGTACCGCGCTGAGACTAACAAACATTTACACTCTTGATGTCCTTATATAACGTATTGAGATGATTTTGTCGAAAGAATATGTTATGGATAAATTATATCTTCTTGTAGCATATGATTTCTCGACTGGTCCTGAAAGCGAAGAGAGACCATCCTGCATCATCGGCAAAAGAAAGCAGCGTAGGTACCGCACCACATTTTCCAATTTTCAGCTGGAGGAGTTGGAACGTGCTTTTCAGAAGACCCATTATCCCGATGTTTTTTTTCGGGAGGAACTCGCAGTTCGTATCCAACTGACAGAAGCTAGAGTACAAGTAATTTCTGCATGTCTCACTAATAGAATTGTATGTACTTGGAGTATCTGGTTAAAAGAAGTCGTGTCATTATTAATTTCCTTGCGAATAGGTGTGGTTCCAAAATCGGAGAGCAAAATGGCGCAAGCAAGAAAAGCAATGTAAAATCGCAACTCATATGACATCATCGCACTTACCACCGGATTGTCAAGAAGTGCAGCAACATCAATCGCAACACTCGGATCATTTGTTATTGGAATCACCATGCAGTCCTATATATCTCGGCATGGAGTGGGCAGGTTTTTCTCCTTATAACAACACAGACAGCGCATCATCTCTTATCGTGAACAACATGAACAAATCAACGGAGACAGAAGCTGACAATAATCCACTGCTCGATCCTGAATTGTTACAATTAAAGCCTCCACGTTCCTAATAATATTAAGAATATACGTATATATAATATATTGTTTGTAATTTAGATAACGTTCCATGCTTTCTGAGAAGTTACGCGATTAGTATTATAACTGAAATAACTTGCAATATAATTTTAACATAGAGAATATATATATTGCGCGCGTAAAGAAGGCTATTGCTTGTCGAACAACGAATGAAGTTTTTATAATGAAATTGGAATTTTTATATTAATGATTGCACGAATGCATTATTTAAAAAATGCCATTCGGGGCCTTATTAACGATTCATCATTCGTCGATGAAAAAAGTCGCGATCATATTGATAAAAATGATCGTATATACATTTTGTAAGAGGAAAGATGTATATATAATGGAGTGTCTGTTTCTTTTAGACAAATAGATTCTATTAAAGGAAAAGTAATAAATATTTATATTATGTACAAAATTACTCTTTGCGAGACGTGTTACTCCAATATAAAATAGTAACGTCAACTTTTTATTCAGTGTGCATATGTTACAAGTCAGTAAATTAATTAAGGTATTTATTAATTAATTGATCCTAAGAGCGAATAAGCGAGCTAAGATGCTTTTCCCGATCTTTCAAATTTGAGAGCTCATTTCCTTTTTTCAATAGTTTTTCTCTTTTTCTATGACTAATTATCCTCGAAAGTTTTTTTCAATGAACATCGAAGATAATTAGTCGAACGAATAAAGTTTTTATTATATAGCCTTGTCAGTGAGAGATCTGTTAACTTTAACTTTTAACAGAACGTTGTTTGGGATGCATCTCGAGTGAAATAAATTAGTGACAGACGTTAAAAGGTTACGCAATGTATGAGTACTCGTCCGCGCTATTTGGCGTACGTTCGATATACTGTTTATCTATCAAAGTTTCAATGCACTTTTTAATCATTCCGATAGAAGGTGCGAAAGTAACTTTTGATTGACTCAACACCTGAAACAATAGAATTATATTAAACATCGCTACACAAGGTAATTAATATGCGCTTGCGTTACACTCTCGAAACTCGCAACTCACCTCCTGTATGAGCTGATTGTGTTTTAATAGCTTGCGACTCTTCATGATGCGAACTATAGCCGCCTGCAAGAACATCTTCCTGTCTTCGTCTACACTGCGATGTGTAGCCTCCGCATCCTGTGGCGCGTCTCGCTGTAACACCCCTGTCACGCGAAACTTGGTTCTCTTGTTGGAGTAACTAAAATTGAGCGTGAGAATAGTATCCTCCTCCAATTCGCCATCGTTGGACTTAGTGAGGATCTTACAATCCACAAGGCTAGCGGCATGCTTCATTAGCTGATCATGCGATAGACGTAACGAGGCAGCCGCTTCTTTACATGGAATCGTATCACAATGCTCGAAAAGCAACAGCAACGCCATTTGATACGTTTGCACAGTAACCAAATACGGTTTCTTCAAATAATTAAATTTGAGCTCGCCTTGACTTAGATGATGCAGCCACGTAAGCTTCCGACCGCTAAACTGCATGTGATAGAACGTCTCGAAAGCCTGGACGGATTTCTCCAGTTGCTGTGGAACATGGAACGGGCCGGGTGAAGGTGGTAGACCAAGTGGCCAAGCACCAGCTTGCAACACTTTAACTGTGAAACCGGTACCCAATTGATTCTCTCCGTCGCCTTCCCGTAAGGTCGCGATAAACTTCGCGTTGAGATCCGCTGAGACGGACATGTCCGTGAACATACGATGGAGCTTGTTCGTAAATTCGTAACCACACGCCCGTTTCAGGTCATCGATCATCATCTCCTCGGCATCCATCGATTGCGACTGCTGATGTATTAATCGCTTCGCCAACATACGCGAATAAAATTTTTGGAACACATCCTTATCATCCACGTACTTGAACACTGTTATGGAGCGTTTCAGTTTGTCCTCGATTTCACTTTCGGAGGCAGCCCTGGGAGACTTTTTCAATAGAATATCGCAATACCTCGCCAACTAAGTGAAAGATACGCATTATATAACTTATTAAAGAAACCGTATCCTAAATTGAAAATATCTATATTTTTAAATGATTTTTACCAATTCTGGTGCTCGAACTGGCTGCTTCGGAGCAGGCCTGTAATTTACGATGGCGGAGCAAGCTTTATCGAGAGCGCCTACAAAACTTTGATCTGAATTGAACACTTCCTTAATCATTTCGGAATATTTCGAATGTACATTTAACATATTCTCCACAAACTGCATGTATACCTGAAATTAGAAATTCATGTTCTTTTCTTTATAAAATTACGTAAATCTATATATTTTAGTATACTTTTGAATATTTTATTATATTCACATTTTCTCCTTGCAAAGGTCCAATTGCTTGTAATCCTTGCAGTGTAATATGGCGAGTAAGATGTTGCACAAGTGGATCTAATCCTCCTGGCAAAGACCTCAATAATGGATAAAGAAGAGCCAAATCTCGTCTGCTCTCATTCTTTATCATCATTTCTGCTTCTGAATGTAATAAATCTACATGTGCAGCTACCATTTTATCTTCACAACATGCTCTGACCTGCAACAGAATATTGCTGTTGTGTATATCCATTTTAGCTACTTCTACAATAGATGAAAAACGCGATAACGTACTTTTGCTACAGAACTCTTGTGAAGAAACTTATAAGCGCGTGCCTCCTCTTGAGCAAGTCTCCACGTTACTTTTTCTATATAACGCGTAACGTCTGATTGCTGCAACAACGATGACGCTTCCGCTGTGTAAAATTCTCCACTAGCCTCCAAAAAAGGTTCTTCAAAAATTTCTTGATACAACTGAAAAACATAATTTAATAGAAACTTAAAAATAAAAAAAACCCTTTCTTTGCTTATAAAAAGAAAAGTTTGTGTAATCAATTACGTTTAATTTTCCCTTCATCTTGTGATCTTCTACCCGAACAAAACTTTCTATGACACCACAAATAACATCGGTCGGGGCAAGCAATTTCGAATCTCTATCAGCATCGATACACGTAAGTAGAAGAGAAACTAGTTTTTTCTTAAGTGGTATTATCATCTTTTTCTTCCAAATGTCCAAACCAAGTTCACCAATCTCCATCTGCTCTTGGCACTCTTCTTCTCTATTGTGCAAACTTGTGCCATAGATAAGTTCTGCTTCTGAGAGCTTCTGTTTTTTGATGTGTTGTTGATTAAGATATAAGTACAAGCTATGCAAATAGTCGATGCCTTGCGAGTACTCTGTCCAAGCGCGATAATACGCTGGAAGCAGCTCCCACTTATCATTATATGAGTTGACCTGTATTAGCAAATGGTCTACATGGTTAACCAAAAACCTCTTTGTCTCATCATACAAACGGTCTGCTAGTGGTTCAGGATACGCAACGCATAAAGAATAAACATCGCTGCAATCATAATCTACACTTAATATACATTTTCCTATATTACATTAATGACATGTAAAATAATTGTCAGATTTCATACCTAAATCTATCGTTCCATATAGCACGTGGGATATTTGCTAACGTTATCACTCCCTTGATAGTCTCTTGCAGTACATGCCATGTTTTATTAAAATCCACTCTCTTGGGTTTTAGTGACATCCTTCTCTTTGATCCACAAACCCTTTGATAACTTGATCACAATAACAATAGTTTGCTAATTTCACAGAGAAGTACACTCACTGTATGCCATAAACCTGCAAAATAGTCAAGTCACTTATATTATTTACATATAGGATTTGTGACACATATTCAAACGTAGTTAAAAGCTTGACTTGTACAAGAATCAATGAATCGCTTGGTGTTCAAACAAAAGCAATCCCAATCGAGGAATACATTCCAAGAATAATCTTTCGGAGTACAGAGAGAAAGAGGGAGAGAGAGAGAGAGAGAGAGAGAGAGAGAGAGAGAGAGAGAGAGAGAGAGAGAGAGAGAGACTGAGTTTATACGGCTTTGTTCGTGTGTTTTGTACATCGTCGGTTTAAAAATAACGTAAAAGTAAAATACACCACGCGTATACATACACATACACACATCTCACGGCCGTTCTAAATCTCCCCGCTACTCGTAACTTTACGCGGCAAGGTGACACTCTCTGCGAGAATCTTCAAACTCTAAACAACCTTGACGAGTTTATAAGTACGTAAACAATCGTCCGTTCGAAATGAAAATCTCGAATGTAATGATGCGTGGCTGCCACGCCGCCGCTGACGGAGGCATGCGATGTATACGAGCGTGTACTCGGTGCACGCGTTACGAAATATCGATTCGAACAAAGGGGGATGTGTCGTTTTTTCCTCCGAGAGCTCGGGACGTGGCGGAGTCGGGGGACCGTCGCGCGTGGGACTACACGCGTGTACCCGTCATTGGGGGGGCAAGTACGACACAGCTGACTGGCTCGATGCTCAGCTCCTCCAGATGGACCGCGTGCCGCAAGTCGGCCTAACCAAAGAATTAAGCGCGGGAGGAAACGCGAACATCACCGAGACACGAGCTCGCGTGGTTCCTTCTTCCCCTGTTCTTCGGCCGACGAACTGACGAAACGTACCGGCCGTTTATTTTTGGGGCGGGGACCCGAGTCACTCGCTGCCGCGACGAGATGATGCATGGCACTCGCGGCGAATATACGCCGAGCGCATTTTCCGTCCGCTCCGCGCTGCTCCCTTTTTTTTCCTTCCGCTTACGACTTTGCCCTCGCACGCTCGTGTCACCGATGATCGTCGTCCGCTCTCTCCGAATCCGCTAATCGCGATCACAGTCTTGCTCGAAACGCTCGAACTCGCAGTGCACCCTCCCGTGTACTCTCGTACCCGCTGAACCCGCTCGCGCGTTGAATCCTCAATAACATCGCGCGGCCATGCTCTCTTGGTGCGTGTGCGCGAGCGCGCAACGCACAATTTTCATTCGTCGTCATATGTGTGCCACCCGCATGTCTCGATCTGACGTCGTGCCATTGACAAAGCGATATGTAAATCACGTGGCCACGGATTTATATAGATAGATTAAAAGCGCGAAAACAGCATTAGTAAGAGAGGCTGATGGAAAGTCAGACGTCGATTATTGTGTTTTTTGAAATGAGGTGAAAATTATAAAAGTAAACAAATATTAGAACTTTTATCATTTTAATAACAATAAGGGCTATGAGCCAGATTTCAATATATTTATATTTTTTGAATGATATTTCATTTGGGCTTTTTTGTCGTACGACAAATTTTTCAAGCCTGTTGATTGGCTATAAGATAGAAAGATCCGAGAACTTCTCTGTCCTGCACATATTTGTCTAAAATTATAAAATAAAAATAATACGTACTATAATGGCTCAATAATAATAAATAAACATTAATAAGGGCTACGAACTAGATT